CTTTACAAAGATTTACCTAAGGGGAGCTTACAACCTTGTGCGAATTAAGGAAGGAGATGAATAGAAGACAGCGTTCCGAACAAGGTATGGCCATTTTGAATACAATGTCATGCCATTTGGTCTTACTAATGCTCCAGCGATCTTTCAACACATGATGAATGACATCTTTCGAGAGCATCTAGACGATTTTGTTGTCATCTATCTAGATGATATTTTGATATTTTCTAAGAACGAGGAAGAACATGAGAAGCACGTTCGTCTGGTACTCAAAAAACTACGGGAGCGAGGACTCTATGCCAAATTGGAGAAGTGCTTATTTCACCAAACTGAGATGGAATTTTTGGGATTCATCGCGACTACGAAAGGCTTGAAGATGGATCCAAAGAAGGTGGAAGCAATCATGTCTTGGGAAGTTCCGAAGACGATTAGGGACGTACAATGTTTTCTTGGATTTGTTAACTACTATTGGATCTTCATCAAGAATTATTCTCAAGTTGCTGCCCCCCTCACTCGGTTAACATGTAAGGACAAGCTCAAATGGGGACCTATCGCAGAAAAAGCATTTCAAGATTTGAAGATGGTATTTACTACAGCTCCAATCTTGGTACATCCGGACTTTACAAAGGCCTTTTATTTGGAGACAGATGCTTCGGATTTTGCTTTGGGAGCTGTACTTTCACAGATGGGCTTAGATGAGAAGCTCCATCCAGTTGCGTTCTATTCTCGAAAATTCTCTGCTGCTGAGATCAACTATGAGATCCACGATAAGGAACTCCTTGCTATAGTAGATTCTTTCCAAGAGTGGCGCCACTTTCTCGAAGGAACTGCACATCCAGTGACTGTATATACGGATCACAAGAATTTGGACTATTTTATGTCGGCTCGGGTTTTGGATTAGCGTCAAGCTCGGTGGAGTATGTTGCTATCCAGGTTCGACTTTGTTATTACTTATCGGCCTGGGAAGCAACAAGGATTGTCCGATGCATTATCAAGGAGATCATATCTCGCGCCAAAGGCTGGAGATGCAGCATTTGATCAATAGTGCACGACATTGTTGAAGCCAGAGAAATTTCGGCTCAACGCAGCTATTGTACCAATTGATGCTGACTTCCTCGACTAGGTACGGGCCGCAACCATTGAAGATTCTCTAGCCCTTGATATCAAGCAACATGCTAGTGATGATAAATTCAAGATGGAAGGAGATCTAGTATATTTCGAAGAGCGGTTGTATATCCCAAAAGGGCCAACACGACTCTGAGTTCTTCAATCTCGTCATGACTTTCCAGCTGCGGGACATTTTGGATTCAATAAGACCTTGGAACTTATTTCCCGCGATTTCTGGTGGCCTCAAATGTGGAAGGATGTGAAAGATTTTGTTGTATCTTGTGACATTTGTTCAAGATCCAAAAACCCTCGACATCGGCCTTATGGACTTCTACAGCCATTGCCTATTCCGCGCCGACCATGGTCTTCGGTTTCCATGGACTTTATTATGGATCTACCACCATCGAATTCATTTGACAGCATTTTTGTTGTCGTAGACCGGCTTACAAAGATGGCGCATTTTGTCCCTTGCAAGAAGACATCGTCAAGCGAAGACACAGCAAGACTCTTTCTTGATAATGTGTATCGATATCATGGTCTACCAAATGATATCGTATCGGATCGAGAAACCTAGTTTGTGTCAAAGTTTTGGAAATCTCTTTTTGAAATATTGAAGGTGGATATCAAGCTTTCTTCGGCATTTCATCCTCAAACGGACGGCCAAACAGAACGGATGAATCAAGTTTTAGAGCAATATTTACGTTGCACCATCAACTATCAACAAGATGATTGGGTCGCATATCTACCGCTAGCCGAGTTCGCATATAACAACACCCTTCATGCGTCAACTCAACAAACGCCATTCTTTTCCAATTATGGATACCATCCAAAGCTTGACTTATGGAGTTCGTCAATGATTAACAATCCGGCAGCTGAAGGATTGGTGAAGGAGCTTTCGCAGCTTCAAACTACATTGAAGCTTCAATTGCAAACTGCCCAAGAATCTTACAAGGCGTCCGCGGACAAATTTCGGAATCAGGCACCTAAATTCACGATTGGAGACAAAGTTTGGCTGCTTCGACGAAATGTTAAGACCAAGCGGCCATGTGATAAATTGGACTATCGGAGATTGGGACCATTTGTTATCCAGAAGCAGATCAATCTTGTAGCGTATCGTCTGGAGTTACCAGCTACTATGAAGGTACATCCTATCTTTCATGTTTCTTTGTTGGAGCCTTATCGAGAATCGTCTTTTCTTGGAAGAGTACAATGTCCACCACCTAGCATAGAAATAGAGAACCACGAAGAATACGAGGTGGAAAAGGTCCTGGATTCACGGCAAAGACGGGGTAAATTAGAATACTTTGTACATTGAAGCGGTTACGATATTAATGAACGAACATGGGAGCCGGCCGAAAATCTCGCGAATGCGCCACAAAAGGTACAAGAGTTTCATCGATGATATCCTGAGAAACCCAAGCCGGTTCGACGATAGCTTCTTACTGAAGCTTGCTCATCCAGAAAACAGAAAAGAGGAGAGAGCACTACCAAAATCCATAGTTGATGTAGTCATTCTCTCCAAGATAGCGTAGAACTTTGTTAGTAGCCCAAGTTTATTCTTATTGTTTTAGCCTTTGAATATGGATAGCCAAGATACTACACTTGTCATGTCATCTCAAGCAACTAGCTCACGAAGACGACCGCGAGATGAAGAACCGCTTGCACCACGACAACGTCGAAGGATTCCGAGCAACAGATCACTGGTGATTGTATTTGAGGTCGAGCCTGCCTACAATGGTCAGCCAGAAGGAGTGTTTGCAGGACAATTTCACAATGAAGACACAGAGGTTCATGCTTGGTCAGAAGTTGAAGGCGTGGGCCACTACCGTTGGCTTCAAGGACCATTGAATCACTTGGCTCGTGAACAACAATTGGAGTTCATAGCAGAGGTTATGCGACAGATCTTCATTTTCTTGCGTTGGTATTGACTGACGATAACATTGCTTCTCGGAGACCTCGAAGCTAAAGGAGGAGGTGATGTTAGGGACATAGTCTTTAGACCTTTCTAGAGACAAGTTTCTAGAACCTTCTAAAAAGAAGTCTCTAGAAACTTCCAAAAGATTCCTTGAATATTCTCTTAGAATATTCTTTAAAGATTCTCTAAAGATTCTTTGAATATTCCCTTAGAAGGCTTTAGAAGATTCTTAGAATATTCTAGTAGATTCTAGGAAGTTACTTGAGAAGCTTCCTAGCTCTTGGGTAGTTGTTCGAGAAGCTTCATAGTTCTTGGGAAGCTTCTTGATGCGCTTCCTTAGAACCATAGGCCAGTAGTATATATAGGAGTCGAGGCTAAAGAGTTCTTCAGTCTCGACAACACATCTCTTGAAGCTCTAGCTCAATTCTCTTGGCGTTGCTCTTGTACTCATCTGATAATCTAGTTCTTGTCATTTCTTCTTGAACTTCTTGTTTAGATTTCTTGTTTGTATTTTTGGTCCGTGACAAGAATTCATGATCATCTACAAATATAAGATTTTATTTTTTTGCACTATTAACATGTTAAATGTATCAAATTTTTCAACTTGACTTTAGCCAAAAAAAAATTAAAATAAGATATCTATAAATTTAAATTTTTATTGCATATATTGAATTGGATACATGGAAGGAAGAAATAGAATAAAAAGATTTGAGCCTACAAAATACATTAAAAATTGACATTTGTAGACACTTAATGTTGCAACAATACAAAGGCAAATAATAGATTTTTTTTCGATATGCAATCATTTGATGTCAATACATTTAAAATAAACTAACTTATTATTTATTTATTTTTGAAAAAAAATTTAAACATAGTTCTTGTAAAGAAAATTTAATACAACATTTAGTCACATATGATCAATTATGTAAGAAAGAAGTACAATTAGCTTTAAAACCAAAATCTATAAATGACAAATATTTGAAAATACAAAGTACACTAAAATCTCTATAAAGAAAATGATGCAAAGAAGCCATATATACATATTTACATATATATATATATATATATATATCTCTTAAATTGAGTAATGAATAATTGCAACGAAGTCTAAAATATCCTAAAAGTCAGCTAATTACTCATGAGGGTTAAAACAAGCCTTTTCAGTTCTAAATCTCTCAGTTATTACATGTCCCTGTCTCCGGCAAAGATAAGGTAGAGGTTGTGTAATATACTCTTTTTCTGCAATAGAGGATACCTCTGCTTGTGTCAAAATAATTATTTAAGAAAAGTACGTCCTTACCTATAACAGTAATTTAACAGATCTGTACCGTCATAGCACGTCAATTTTAACGTGGAAGACGTCAAGGCTTTCCCGTAGAAATACTGGGTAGCTCAAACCATTCTTTGTCGCCTGCTGTGAAGCAGTCCCTCGGGAACAGAGTGATTATTCACAGACAAAAAACAACACTATCGTTTACTAAAGCTAACAGCTCACAGAGAGAGCATTTGGTTTAGTCTGCATCTGGTTTTGAGAGCGAGCTCGGGATGCAAAAGCCATCATCAGAAAAATCTTTCACCATTTTCTGAGCTTACAGCCTCGTTAATTCCTCGATTCCGTAGCAGGTTTCTGATCAGTCACCGTCTTGTGGGACCCGAGGAATGTGAAGAGCCTGCGTGTCCTGTCCCTTCCCAATTCAATGACCTTCGGGTACAACAGTGATATGCCCGGCAGGTCCAACAGATTCTCAGAAAGGTATGTGGGAGCACAGATGTAGAGGACGAGGAGTCCGCATCGATGACACCTCTGACTGACAGGAACGCCAATGCAATGTCAGTTCAGGTTGACAGAGACACTGATCTAGCAGACGTTAGTAGGACTGCGGCGCTGTCTTCATCTCCTGACGGCTTAGCAGAGAATACAGCCGGCGTTGCCAAGCTGTATATTTCGCGTCTCGCTCTTCAAAGCTATATATATGTACTAGTTTGATGTGCTTGACACTTGTAATCCTTTTTGCACTCCAGTCGGTGGTTCTTCTGTGTCTGGTGTTCAGTGTGCATATCAGGCCAAAGCTACAGCAATGGCCTTCGATATTGGGAAAGGGTTGATGGCCCTACTCATGGTTGTCAACTTCTGCCTGTACTTCATCGCTGCTTGCTTGGCTGGGTCTATCTTGAACCGCAACCTTGACGTCAACGTCGGCCGAAATGACGACCTACAAACCGGTGAGTTCCACGGTCAGCTGCAGTTTTTGAAACGTTTGGCATGATCAAAATTATCAACTTGTCCATGAAGCATCGGGATAATATGCTCCTTATAATGTATTTCACAATGGGTCAACTGACTTCTCACCAGATTAAGCATTAAGGAGCTTTGACTCTCGAGATGGGTTTGAGGTTTTGCAGGAAATGTTGCCACTGTTGTCTTCATTCCAATCGCTCTGATTGCATCCATGGTCGGTCTCGCATCAGTCTTCGCAGGAGCTAACCATGCTCACATCAGGCGTGCCGAGAGTCTCGCAGCCGTTTCCGCCACGTCTACGGTCGCATGGTTGCTCACTCTCCTGGCAATGGGCATTGCTTGCAAGGAGATTCACACCGGCTATGGACGTAGTAAGAGACTGGTGAGTTCATCACACATAGATCTAACCTCTGAGTCAATGCCCTCACTGCGATTCCTCTACTTGTATGTGCCGTAAACATATGTTTCTGATCACAGTCATCTGTTGTTCTTGTGCATTCTCCTCCAGAAAACCTTGGAGGCTTTCATGATCATCCTATCTCTCTTCGAGCTACTCTACTTATTGGCCTTGCACGTGGGATCTATCTTCCATGAAGGCCACTCAAGCCCTTCTAGCAACCGCGCTGTCAAGGACCCCAACCTTGGAACCCCGGCAGCAACCGCTGTGTGATCACAAAAAAACATTGATTACTTTGAGTAGCAATTTCTGATCCAAATGCCGTTCTTGGCGTATCATTGTGCTGTGACAGTCGCCACAGTCCCTGTACATTACTTCAATATAATCGAGACATTCCTCTGTCAACAACCTCTCAGTAAAATGGCAGCTTCATTTCTCATTACCTTTTTGATTTCAAAGTGTTGTGATTTCGATCCCAATTTTTTGAAATGGCGAGCCCATTAATTCAGTGTATTGCAATGCCAATGCTGACCTGAGATTCTCGTGTACACTACTGTAGTAAATTAGTATTGTATTGACGGATGTGTGTCATAGTTTTGTGCAATGCTGACACTGCGGTGATGCCTTGGAGTATTAAACAGAACTTAACAAGCAATCTCCAGATAGGAACAGCTTGATAACTTTTCTCTTATCAAAGATCAATTCTCATGTACCCTAGAACATTTCCTCTGCGGCTGAGTATGCCACCGCTCAGAGACGAGCATGTCTGGTTTTTAGATACCACTTACATTTCTCTTACATGTTTTGTTTATAACGATGTGAATGGCAGTAAGAAAAGAAAAGAAAAACTATATTTAGAGAGGCCCGAGAACAAAGTTTGTCAAACTTCGGGTTCGAAAATCCTCTGCAAAAGTTTGGATTATTGCATTTGAATGGTAGAAAAGCAATGTAGCGATGTACAGTACAGCGATGTAGAAAATAGCGACGGAACACCGTGCTGGGGTTTCAATGGGCCAGAACAATTTGTGTGAATGATTATCCACAGCAGCAATACCAGCACCATTCTCCGACTTGTGGGCTCCACAAATATATCATTATAGGTGTCGCAACATGGTGCGCCATTACAGCAAAATTCACAAGGGCTTAGTAAGCACAAACGACAGCTCACACAAATTCCTGTCAACTGCAATCTTAACGCACAGCTGTGCATCACAAGTCGACGCAGTCAAGGAATACCTCACAAATACGAGGATCATTTGACACTTGGCGACAATAGAGGTGCTGGCGCAATGTTTTGTGGCATTACTGCAGGACAATGGACGAGGCGCATTCTTATTTAGCTGCAACCCGCGACGTTCTTGGACAGTGAACTAAAGCGACTTCCGCATTCTGTAGGTGTTCTGATCTCGGTTCCTGATCGCCTTAGCTTGCAGAGCTCATTGTCACCTTGTCAAGTGCTCAGTAGCAAAGTTTGGTTCGATGGCGTTCGGCATTGGGAAAGTGTTGATAATGCCTTTGATGGTTATCAACTTCGGCCTGTACTTTATTGCTGCTTGCCTGGCTGGGTCCATCTTGAACCGGAACCTTGATGCTAACATGCACCGAAATGACGACATTCAGATCGGTATGAGGCTAGACGCCGTTTGCTTGCATTGTATTGTGTTGGTACATTTCTGAGGATGTACAAGGTTTTCAGACCCCCCCCCCCTTTCTTCTCTCGTTCGTTTGCAGCTTGATTTACCTTTAATTTTGAACCCACTGTACCTGACAAGCAAGTGGTATCCAACATTTGATCGCAGGCAACGTCGCCACAGTTAATTTCATCCCGTTCGCATTGATTGCGTGCATGGCTGGTCTAGCATCAGTATTTGCAGGAGGTCACCATATCCGCATCTGGCGAACAGAGAGCCTCGCGGCTGCTGCTGCTACGTCTTTGATCGCGTGGTTGCTCACCCTCTTAGCCATGGGCCTAGCTTGCAAGGAGATCCACACCAGTTACGGCCGCACCAAGCGACTTGTGAGCATCCCAAAACCTCGTAGCTTTTCTTGTGCTAGATTGACCATTTCTTTCGTCCATAACATGTCTTCAGAGAGTTTCAAAACATTGACGGAGAGAAAACACCCGCTTCAACTTTAGGATTACGGATATCTCTTATTGGATACATGAACATTACGAGAACCTTTCTTCAAGATACTAGGTGGCTGGGAATGGGGGTTATATGTAGCCAGATTAAGAGCTATTCCGAAACCTTAAACCTCAAGTGGCAGTTCTGTTCTGGTTCTACGATTTCTTACACAAACATGATGTACATTGTTTGCAGAAAACTTTGGAAGCGTTCATGATCATCCTGTCGCTCTTCGAATTGTTGTACTTGCTCGCCCTACATGCTGGTTCTGTACATACAAACGATGGGGTTGTCAACACCACTGGCCACAGGGGAGTGAAGAACCCCAACTACGGCACTCCAGCAGCAACCGCCGTCTAGATGACGTAAACCTGATGCAGGATATTCAGTATTCTTGCAACTAGGGGTGCCATTGCAATATGCTTTTCTTCCACAGCCACTAGCCCGCAGGCATTTTGTACAGTGTACCATGTTTTGTCCACCAGTGACTGAAATAATAAAAAAAAGAAAAGAAAAATGTTCAGTGATGAATATTTTTCTTATCTTAATTACCGCATCCTGACCATTATCGACGATTCATTTTCAAGTGCTGTGTCGGTATGTGCTCTTGTCTTTCCAAGTGCGATGAGTCATCCAATGAGTGCTTGGCATGCTTTTGTATATCATTTTGGCAGAAATACAACGTTCTTTACATTAGAGGGACGGGATACAAATCATTATGGTGCACTTCTCACTCGTGCATGAAATCCTCTAGTAGTTCCGATGCACAGGTACAGAGAGCATGTTCTATGTGCTGACCACAACAGAAAACTACAACGCAGAAAATTCTATCTTAGTGACAGTTTTTCAGCAACGAGTGAGTTAATTGCAGGCAGGATTAGACTGCACCACGTCCAATGCACAAACGAACCCTTAGATCAAATAAATAATTTTCTATACTGCAGAAAGTCTTAAGATTGATTGCGTGATTTTCAGATAAAAATATAATTTTATTATGCAAGCTAATACTTAATGTAAAGTACATAAATTTCATCAAGCTTTCATATGCTTAAATGATAATTGTGCATCAGTGTCTTTTCAAAAATAAGTCGAACAATGTCAAAAACATGCAAGTCGATGTTCCTGCAACTCTCCATTGTTGGACCAGACGTGCGCAGCATTTCCGGTTCCTTCAACATTCAGAAACAACCCAGGTCACAGAGTCAATTAAAGAATTAAAGAATGCATAGGCCGCGCACCATCTTCTGCACAAGGTCCTCCGGCAGTGACACGTACCGTCCCCTTCCTCGGGACCCACATTCTTGGCCCACAACCAGCTGGATCCTGCTTCGTCGCTCGATCTGATCTAGAAAAGAACTCTGAATCAGCATCTCCTGGGAGTGTGGGAGCAAATTACTTGACTTGATGCAATGGCATTCGCTAGTGAAAGAGGGACGACAGCATAAAGAAATTATCATGACTCTCAACTTCGATTCTCAACTTCTGTTTGGATCCGTCGGGAACCCAAACCTTGACGCCAACATCCAGCAAAATGACGAGTTCCTTGTTGGTGACCATCTGTGCAGGTGTAATTGAATATTCAACGGAAGGTCAACTCTGAGCAGTTTCTTTGGGAGAGGATTCGTTCACACTAATTCCTTGCGCATGCCCTTGAGTCGTTGTTTTATGTTTGACGAAGTGGAGTGAAGGGATTTACACTGATGTTGATCGTTAGGTGCATGACTCAAGCAGCATGGTGACTCCGCTCTTCGTTCTCATCGTCTAGATTGCATATAAGGCTAGTTTCCCATCCTTCTTCTCAGGGTTTTAGCATCTCCGTGTCTTAGTTAATGAAACTCTCGACGCTGCTTTTGCCGCATCGCCGATTGCGTGATTTTTCACTCCCTTAGCCGTGGGCATTGCTGGCATGCACATTCACTCTCGACACGGTGGTAACTTGATTCAGCTGAGGCTTCGCACTGGCAGATCATTAGCCGATGGCAGAACTGACGTGATTCCATTCTTCATTCAGTATCTGTTAAAGGTAGACTTAAGATAATTTTCATAACATGTTGCTAGTGTGTAACGTTGCAACACCGTCAGTTCTGCCATCATGACACCTTTCGTTATATTCAAGAGCTCTTCGATATACTATAGATTCAACTTGATTAGGTAATTGTGTGCCATGAATTATATGGCAACTTCAAGATGATCTATGATTTCCATGCATCGCATTCCTTCACGAGCATTGAAAACTTGAAATAATGTAACTCCCCGTCATCAGCAGATCGACACTAAAACAACCTGTTGGAGCTGTGGTGCCGTCTCAATAGCCTAAATGAGAATGATATCAGGAGTTGGTGCTTGGCTTCCAGTCTGAGTTCTGGTGAGGTTAAAGGAGACTCTGCATTTGCTGTGTGTGGATATGAGCTGCTGTTTGTGAATCATCATTTGGACATCACTTATCTGTATTAAAGTACTCTATGATTCCTAAGACATTTTAGGTAGTAGTAACTAATATCAAATGTCATTATCTTTTTTATTTGTTTTTGAGAGTCACTATCAAACTACTGACCCCAACTTCACAGTTTTGTTTCAGAAAATTTGTATACTTCAGAAGAAGCACATTAGTAACTTGCGCACAAGATCACGTATCTAAAAACTATATAATCGACAAAATGGAGGTGAATGCTTTGCTGTGCTGCTAGATTCTGGTCGAATAAACCACCTATCTCTTATGTGCTTTATCTTCCACGTCACAACATTAATGACCACGGCCTCAACCCACCACGTGAATGAGGAAGAAGAGAATGGAAAGCTGAAAGATGCTCGGAAGAGAAAGTTAATGAGCTGGAAAAAACGATAAAAGAAAATAGAGACAGTGGGAGCTTTTCACCATATTCTACTTTGTTACTGGGCAATAAGACTTTTTGCTTACAAATGATGCATCTAAAACGAACTTTCTTAACTAGAGTTATTAGTCTCTTACGAATATTTTGGTGTCGGAATACATTAAATGTCGAGTAAGAAGAGCATCCATGTACATTGTTGCGAAGATTTAGCACTGTGAACTACATTTCACAAGGTGACTAGCTACTTGTAATTTCTATATAGTCAGTGACATGTACGAAGCGTGCCGCATGCTGCGTTGGCTCAACGGGTTCATCGCCCCTAATGTTCGAGTCACTAGTGGCGATGCCGTAGACGTTCCCCTAGACCCAACTCATGACACGACTTGGGAGTTCAGGAGATGATATCATGACGTATGATCTCTTCATGACGCGGCTGCTTCACCAGTCAGAGTAGATAAGTCATGCTGTACTATCGCAGTCATGATTCGATTGTCACGCACAACTGGTCAATACAGGATCATGCATTGGGAGAAGTCGCCCAATCCTTCAATAAAACCAATCCTTTCTTCAAAAAGAGCACCACATACTCGTTCGACCACTGGAGATTTTATTCGTCCACATTCTTCTCACCATCTTCGTCTGGTGCCCACAACTCTCTTTTCACAGTAGCTGCAGTTGTTGAAGGTGAAAAGTTATCAATTCCCGCATTCCATACAAACCTAAGTCATCACCCCCTGGACTGAACAGAAGAGCAGCAATTCTCTGTTGTGCAAACCATGGGCATGATATTACCGCTTCCATAAGGCAAATAAAATCAGACAGCTGAAGCTTCCCTACGTGCACAAATTAAGATGTGAACTTTGCAGCTTGAGGAAAATACTACATAGTATTACTAATTTACAATTTGGAAACATCATTCTGAAACAATTGATGTATCCAAGTGAATCCTGCTACTTGCAGCAGAAAGAGTACTATTCCCTGGTGACTTGACACCGGTACTGACTAATCCCTCGTGATAACAACCCATTTCTATCTCAGCGTGGCCAGACTTCGCATCCTTCGTCCAAAATGTGGTGCAGCAACCTAAGCAGGCATTCAATAAGGTGATGTAGCATGAAGCATGCACGGGGTACGAATAGGCTCACCTTCTACAATGCAGCAAGAATTGGAAACGCAAAGTGAAGTTGGACAAGACTCGACTGACAACGACCATTCTGTGTGGCTCAGTTTTTCCTGGCTTCCAAATCGAGACTCAAAACATAGAATGTCGGAGCCAATGAAACGTTATTAGTCTTTGTAAGCATGCTCGGGCCGATGAGTGACTTCGTAATCGAGATGAACAAAGGCTCGCTCTATTTCTGGAAGTGATTCTAGCTTGTCCTGAAGCGATTCGCCGATGTCGTGCGCTTGTCGCAGAGGCATATCTGCCGCAAGTACAATATCAACCTCCGCGAAGTAATGCGAGCCAAAGGTGTAAGCACGGACGGTATCGATTTGACGTATTTCCTTGTGATGATTCCAGCAAAGGTACGTCAACTTTCGTAGAAAATCCGGAGAGGCCGTTCGACTGACCAAAGCATTCACATTCTCTAGCACCGTCAGTGACCACGTCCGCATTGTGTAAAGAGCCAGCTGTACGCACCAACGAAAATTGATCAGAGATGAAACTAACTGGACGAAGTGCCTATGCAAGAGACCTAGCTTTAAGTCAGGACGGGATAATGAATCGAATAGACAAGAACTCCAGAAAACCTTCTGAGTGTTATAAGTAATGCTAGTTGATACAAGTATCCAGTTCGGCGCGGGGCATATATCAACTAACGATAACATGCGAATGCTACGGAACATTGTAACTACTTCCACGCTCGATCCATGGCCCTAACAAATAGCACAAGTTCAGAACATGCTTCATAATTCCAAATTAAAATGAACACGAAGTAAAATTTTGTCAAGATAGAAAGGAGGTCTAAATCATTAACGTACCACAATGGCGCCTGCAGGATCAAGCCACCAGGAAAATATGCTGGCTAATACTGCCGCAATAAGACCGATCATGTTGGTCATAACGTCAAAAAAGTGATCTTGCGCATAGGCCCTCACAATCTCATCACTAAACGTTCGACAATATACCATCAGCATAAACTTTATGACTGTCGTTCCCAACATGATCCCAACCACCCAGTTCCTGGACTCATTTAGGGCAAGCGAGTGTTCCTGTAAGTCAAAAATTTCATTTTCGTTATAAGTAATCCAAAACATTCCAACAAATTAAGAATAGAATAATTAACCATAGCGAAGCAGAGGCTATAAAGTGACCTATGTGTGTGTCTTACCTGAGTGATTAGAGTCCGTACGGATTCTAGAATGATTTGAAGACCAAGTGTTGCCATTACTGAAGCAAAAACCAGAATACCCTGTCGCCAAGCAGAAAACAAAAGGTATCTTTTTAGTAACGATGAATTTCTGCAGACATGTATCAACTGCAGACATGTTATAAGGGTAGAAAAAACTTTAGGACGTGGTCCTTCAATGGTACATTAAGTAGCGAAAGCTATTGGGGTGTGATGACTCGTAACTTTCAATTTCAAGCATGATCTGAAACTCCATACAGGTTTCCCTGGTATGAAAATTCCAGCTCTCTCCTCACAGGCATTCAGAAGTTAGACATGAGAAAAGACCGTAGTGGACGTACCAGAGGCTGCATCCGCTTCTTGCCAATTGGATAGAGATAGGGGTTCTGCTTGCGCATAGAAATTGCAGTGAACCAGAGAATGAAACCAGAAAGTAGGTCTAGCAATGAGTCCAAAGTGGAAGCAATTATTGCTAACGAGCCACTCCTCACGCAGGCATAGACTTTTGCTGCAAAGATGACCAAATTCATAACATTTGAAATTTGGATGGCAAAATTCTCTCCACGCTTTATGTTGTCTCGCTCCTCCTACAATAAAAATGTCAAAGATATAAGGCTTGTATCGACAAGTAGCATGAATTCGACATTATCACACGCGTGCCCCCTCTGATTCTAGGTTTTCAGAAACAAATTCAACATGATGAACATGCAGGGGCCACAAACTGTGACGGCAAACTAAGAGAGGAGAACAATAACAAGCTAATTAAAACTGTCTAATACCAGAGAGGTACAAAGCTCGAATTGCCTCGGGGTACTCACTTCAGTGCTGCTGAGCCTGTAACCTCGTTCTGCGATGGAATCCATTTCCACAAAGCTTTCTAACATCTCCTCTTGCTGTCTGTAGTATTCATCAATGCCCTTTTCACCGCCTGCATACGTATGCTTATTCTGTTAGAGGTTGTGATAGAAATTACACGCTGTTCAACTTCTTAGATAAATATTAGGGTAGTAGTGTCCGCAAAAACCACACCAACTACTACACCATGTCACGAGTTGCTAAACATCGAGACTCCTGTGAAGGCACAAGGACAAGGAACGTACTGAATTTTTTCATACAATCGGCAGCAGCAGTCTTCGGTGACTCGGGATGAAGGTGTTCTGGCAATCGAAATGAATTTGCATTCAACCGCCATGGCGTGTCCCCATTGCTTTCACCCCCCAACAGCGCCTGCATGGCCGTGCCTTCCTTTTCCATGTCTATTCTTGAATCCATTGCTGAAATGTTGCAGAGTCCCACGCGTAAGTTGGGTCGCAGCTAACCTGCGAGGAGACCTGAGTTGGTGAGTTCGGACCACACTGTTTGTAGTTCTCAATTTCCAAGTCTTCGGAAAACGATGATAACTGCCGAGCATTCATGAGCGCGAATCATTTGATAACTCCACTCCGTCTGACCTAGGCAAATGACTAGGCAAATCCTAAAACGTATTTCAAAAATGCTCCCAAATGCCCAACAGGTGTCACACTTGCTTGTGATCCGTTTAACGTAAATTATACACCAAATCGTAGTGAAATTTATTTCAATATCCTACCCTCTTTGAACGAACTGTTCCGTCTAATCACGTGCCAATAACAAGCGTGTACACCCTTCAAGAGAAAAAAAAAAAAAAAAAAAAAAAAAAAAAAGATCTCGCAAGGAGTCGACAAACAATGATGTACATCTCTGAAGAGAGGATTACGAACCCACTATCTTGAATGCAACGGCAAGATCCTCCAGAATTAATAAACTAGAGCCTGACAAATAAGGCACGAAGGAACCCTCGAATCACCATTAGCATAGATTAAAATAAAACCGCAGACCAATACGAACTGATGGGGGACATCAACGACGCCTGCCAGGCTGGCTTCCAAGATTTCGCGAAAAGCAACTAACGGCGTAGGGACCAATGCTGCGAAACGTCTCCGTACGCCATTTGCGGAGACACTGAAATTCTCCAACCATAAACTACTCCTCGCAAAAGCGTTCAGATAAAGCGCACTTCAACGGCGCAAGAAACACGCAGGGCATTGGACGGAAACCACAATGTAACGGCAAAACATCTCGATAGGCAGCTCGTGGAGGACCAACATAACAAGAATGTTCCGTTGTTCTCCCTGTCGGAGAGAAGTGAAGTAGAATAGACAACTGGTAACCTAGGTGGTTCCAGTTGTATTCTGAACAGACGGCGCTAATCTGAAAATTCCGCCACTATCTTTGTGGGAAATGTGCCTTCTCATGAACCCACACCCTTACCTACGAAATCCAAATACTGTGAGGGGGAAGACATCACAGTGAACGCGTAACCTCTCTCACCAAACCAACTGTCTCTGACGGCAATTCTCCCCGCACCCTTCAAAACCCCTCAAACAATCACTCAAGTCCCGAGTCCTCACACACGCTCTACTTCTCTTCCTCGCAATTCCCAACGAAGCCCACCTGCTACGTAATACCTTCTACTCCCGAGTGAAAGCTATTCCAATGTTCAAATTTGTCAAAAAAACACTCCCAAAAGCTTTCAAAACCTCCCCCCGCAGACAGAAACCTGGTTTACTCCCTCTCATGCCAATCAGACGTATCCCCGACAACCGAGAAGAGCCATGAAATACTTCACGATGCTTCCAATCTATCTACAGAAGTGAAAAAGCCCCACAACTCTATCCCGACACCACCCTCACAGGTCACGCCTCAGTAGCCGCCAACGCTCGAGTCTGCGTCCGACTCGAAACCAAAAACTAAGAACACTATTCCGCCACCACCATCACGCTGAAAAGCTGAACACTTTGCTCAAATCGATCGTGCGACTGCCAAACCCCCTTCTTCACCTCCTTCGAGGACCTCAAATCGCAAGGAACCCTCCCACACTCCACAAAAGGCTCCAGGACCTGAACCACCCCAAAATAACACGCCTCCCTCGTGAGCCTCACCACCTTCCACACCTCATCAATCGTGAGCCACACCCGCGGATATCTCAACCCCGCGCGCATTCATCTCGCAGTCAACAGGTTCCGCAATAACCTGAGCGCTGAGTGTCACCATGTCCACGGCTCTGCTAATAAGCAATGGGCGGAGGGGAAAAGATTCACACCTCTCGTGATCGGATTCCTTATGGCGGAAAAGAAAAGCACCTCATGTGTGTCTGTCTCTCCCGTGCTTCTTCCAGCTGCGCCTCTGGCTGCTGCTGTTGCTGCAACGCTTCCTCTCTCGCCCCCCGCCTCCCGTCCCAGAGCCAACCCAAGCTGCCACGCCCGGATACGAGCCGGTTCTCAGCCGAGACCCCCATCCTGGATGCGTGGCCCCGATTTCGGGCACAGTTTGCCTCTTGAGATCGGCTTCGAGACGTTGAATATCTTACCGGTAATTCATTCTGTTGCTCCATCGCACATGAACCTCGCTTTCTCTCTCACTCTCTCTCGCTGCAAGCCTCGCTCGCACGCACGCACGCATCCGAGGCTCTCCTAATCCATATCCTCATCGTCACCGTATTCCGCCGTCGCCGTCGCCGTCGAAGGTTCACACACCCCGCGCCTGCCCGCCCTGCCCTGCCCTGCCTCGCCCCTCGTGACAGCTAGATGTCCACAGACTCCACGTCACCGGCCCCGTGTAACACCTCCGGTCCAGCTAGCACGGTCAGCCACGTGGATGGTCCTTTCCAAGACTGCTCAGAAAATGTATGTCGGTGGTGTTGTAAATTGACATAAAATAAGAGGAATATAGTCATAATATATATATATATATATATATATATATATATATTACTTCTGTCTGTCAACTCCGTTTTAGACACGTTGCATTTGAATCCATGTATGTGCGTGTCTGATGACTATGAATATTTTGATTTGAGGAATCGATTATGCGAGATCCAACTTTTTTTTATGAATATTGGTGTAATTATAGGCTGATTACTGCGTTTTATTTTTATTTTTTTTGTTTTAGCGTTTGGCATGGAAAATCTAGTATGCTGACGCTGATTTTGCACTTAAACTTTTTACACATCGAAATAGATTAGTACTTGTTTTTTTTAGTAATATGATATAAATTCCAAATTTGCTAGAAAAATGTGTCAGTGATTTCAATAAGTGAATCAAAATTGGCGGTGGTTGCAATGTGATTTCACAGAACTGGCACCGAGCTTAGCTTATACTCTGACATTTATTTTATTTTATTTTGTCCATCATCCGTCTGCCTCAGATTTTGTGGGCATCTCACTGCCTGGCAACTGATCCTTAGGAGTCTTTAAAATAGTGGCGACAGAGGTGCAGGGTTAAGAGTTTGGGGTTATTAAATAATAACACTAACAAAATAAAAATAATCATTTGGTTTTTTTGGGCAATTAGACAAGTCAAAGCTTTTAGGGTTTGTAAAAATGTTCTTGTATGAGGAGCCATTTTGATTTTCTGTCCATCCAACTCCAGGTACCAACTGGGTATTGAATCATGAATATGTTTTACAGTCATGCTTTTGATGTTCTAATATTTCTTATCAGGTAATTTTTGAATTAGTTAGTTAGTTAGTTAGTTTGTTTGTTTGTTAGTTATTCTCATTGTCCCAATGTTTGTTTTCGAACTCACAAACTCATATGTAAAAATAAAAATAGGATGTATTCAAAACAACCTACGCGGAACTAGTACAGAAACATCCAAAAACAACAATAAGCAAATACAAACTAAAAACCAAATAAACTAAAAGAAACAAACTAAATAATAATAATCATAAAAGAAAGAAATAAGCAATCCATCACTAATTGGATCTTCCTAGTGCAACAATGACACTTGTGGTATGATTTGGAATGAAATTAAATAGTCTACTACAATTTGATTCATTCTTGAGAATATGCAGTTGGGGTATTTAAATATTTAAGATGGACTTTACAATCTAGTTTTTTTTTTTATTTTAATGTATAATTATATGCAAAGAGAATGTGGGAATAGAAAAACCACCAAACCAAAGCCGAAATGAAAGAGCAAAATCTGGATTCAACGAACTGCCACTGATTGGATCCAGTCTTTGTGTGGTAATTGAAAAATGTTCAAACCCCCATTATTTTTATTACACTTTTTTATGGGGGTCTGCCATTCCAGCAATGATTTTATGGTGGAACCCACAAGAATGTGCTTGTGTTATCATGTTGACTAAAGATAAACATTTCCATCCATCAAATGGCATCTATATCGATTCTCACAAATGAATGTTCAAAATGGATCTCCACACCCTTTTTCTTCTTCAGAAAAAGATTTAGTAGCAAAAACAAGGCGAGAGAAAACTAAGAATAGAAAGAATAAACACCACCTTAATCTATCACCAAGAAGCTTTTTGTCTTTTTATGAGTATCTTTCAAGTTCGTAAATAAATCACTGTGTAAATTACGTTTGCAAAGTATAATGAATCGATTTCTTCCAAGTCATATTTTAGGTTTCCAAGATACTCATTGCATGCTTTCAAATGCTTTGTAACTACTTAATTTAGAAGTTTCCAAAAAGATCCAAAAGTGTCGAAGAATATGTTTGGGTATTTGTAGGTGATTTTGATACAAACTTCCTTAAATTGTGTTTTGTTGGACCACCTTTTGGAGTACAAGAGAAGGTCTCCACGACCAAGTCTCTACACAAAACGTACAATTACGTACACAAGGGTGCAATTTCCTATTAAAACATACTCTCCATGAGTCGGAGCACTAGTAACAAACAAATTTAGTTGGGTAATAGTAATAAAATAACTTTTATGATAATTTGTATATATATATATATATATATATATATATGAGGTAATTTAGACACGTAAAAAAATTTAAACTATACCCACAATAACTTAGATAACTATGCTCTATAATTGTAACTTTTTTAATAAATAAAGAGCATAGAATCAAAATTAAATTGTGAAAACAAACCAAAGTTTGTTTATTTGTTTCCTTACACTGTAAACATACACTATAACTTCTTCTTCTTCTTTTAATAAATTTAATAACAGATTATCATACGTCTATTTACTTCAAAATCACTCGATAGATGCAGCTCATGAGAAACTAAAGTAATAAAACAAAAACACCTGTAATTCGGTTCACAGTAAATGTGCACACAGGATAGATATTTGAAATGTACATGTAGGGTAGATATTAGTATGGTTGTAAATGAAATGGAATCTCTTTCACATAAAAACAAATCCGCCAACGTCACGTCCCCGGTAGTCAATCCACGTCGGCACCCGGATTGCTGACGTCACACGGATGAGCAACCAATGAGCGTGCACGCCACACAACAGGCAGGCTCCGCGGTGATGCCCGACGAAGCCTATGGTCCCGGGCGGCCCTATAACCGCGCTCCAATACTTTGTCACTATTCATAGTCACTTCCAAAAAGGCGAACTTCTTGGGACTCTCTAAAGCTGCTGCCAGGTGGAACGTCAGCCAAAAAATTAAAGCCAATCTCGAGTAAAGCCGGCATGACAGGAGATAGATAAGCTTTGAAGAGCTTTGGATCGGGATTTGCTTTTCCTTCAAGTTGTGGGTTTATTATTAGTTATGGGTTTATTGTTAGTAGTGGGTTTATTATTCGTCCTTCTTCAAACACCAAAACCCATATAAGTAAATTCATAAATAAATAACACCAAAACCACATCCTCATGAACATCCGCATGAGATCACAAAACTTTTCTATTTTTATTTTCTTGCGGTCTGCTATTTTATTAGGTTTTTATTGGTTCTCATTCATCAGAATTACATGACCCACAATGCATCGACCAATAAAACATGAGTTTTTATCACTAAAGTTTGCTACTAGATTCATGGATCGATACCTTCGATTCTTTCCACTTTTTTTGGAACGAAATGAATCAATAGCAGGAAAAATAAAATAGAAATGTTGATGGGAATTATTGCCTGGTGTGCAAGAGTGATACTGTGGACAAAATTGTTAAATTTACAAAGGGCATGAACAGTGTAAAATTCTTTTTTGAGTTTTATAAGAATGGCCTTGCAAATGTTTACTATATATATATATATATGTATTGTGCAAGGAAGGAGAAGGAGAATGACAAATGGGGTGATATATAAGGCATGCATGTTTTTGAAGTTTTGGGATGGTGAGGCACTTGTGGACAAAATACCTTTTCGAACAAACAGAACATTCCAGAAAATCTTAACAGAAGCTTCCATGTGGAGCTAACCCTCTCCATGCATTTGAATTCTACTGAAGCATCAGTGGGTGTCACCAGGATTGAATACATCAGGAGGAAAAAAAATTAAAAAATTAAAAAATTAATAATAAAAACATAAAGTTTTCCTCAACACAAGAGTAGACAGCCACAAAACAGTGTTCATTTCTAGGAAAGGTGTAAAATATTAACATTCAAGGTCACAATTCATCCTCATGCTCTAAGTCTTTTGCCCAAGTACTAGGTCCTAGGGCATGCTCAAGGTGGGGTTCTTCTTATTATCATTGTTATTGTTATTACTTTTGACATGAACAAGGAGAATCCATCACATTAATGGAGGATATTGACACATACTGACCCTGAAAAAGAACTATGGATATGGTTGTGTGTGGATAGACCACCCATTCAAACTATTTTTTTTTTTGTGTTCCATAGGGTAAAACAAACATGACAAAAAATTTGATATTGACTTAATTTGTAAGTATCCCCCCTTTCCTTCAGAACTACACACACTTTGCCACCCTATTTATTCCCAAACATTTTACTGTTCCTTGTACCCCCTACCAGTGTCCTCTTGTGGTGGTGCATGACGAGGGAGTAACGGAATCCCCGTTTTCCGTTCAGACGGTGGTACTTTCGTCGACGAAAGCCGTCGGTTGGACTCAACGGATCACGACGACGTTGTGGTGGAGTCAAATGGACATTGGGTCCAGCCTGGCACCGCCCAGTCGAGGCGTCTTGTGGATGGGGTTCAAGTAATTTGGATGAAATGGTAGTGAACGAATGTGCTTTCGTTCTCCCGGTCTGCGAAGCGTTTTGCATGAATAGACAATTTGCTTATGTCAGCAGTCAAGTCGACGTGTCTCATTTCCCACGTGTACATCTCCCGCGCTAATCCTCGGAGCTGGCAACGGTTGTGGGAGGAGAGGTTTGGTGGGTCCGAGCCGTAGCTTCGGGAAGGGCTTTAAGGGATTGCATTACACTTGGTTTATATTGACATACGAGATTGAACATATTTTTTGGAGTGCTTCAAATTAAAATTCAAGGATAGTAGATAATAATAGTAAAATTATAGAACTTAATTGATTTTACTTGTTATATAAATTCTGAAAATATGTTGAAAAATATGAACGAATGGAACCAGAAAACAATGAAATAGATCAAGTCATGAGGTGAATATATATATATATATATATATTTATTTATTTGACAACATCATTTTTTTGATGTTAAAATGAATCTTATTTATATGAATATAAGGATCATAAGATTCCTCATAGGAAAAAATTAAAATAAGAGTGCTAGTCTCATATTTCAGAGGTTAAAATTATGCAAATGGTCAATAAATTTGAGATGTTAAATGTTAGTGCTTTAAAACCATATTCGAACCTTTTAAGATATGATGAGAATGATTTTTATTTATTTATTTATTATTATTTTTATCTTCATTGAATGATTTATTTGAGGGGTAAAGTTTTTTTTTTTTTTTTTTTTTTTTTTTTTTTTATAAACACTGATAACACTTTAAATGTTTTTCAAATTGTATAAACATTATGTGATCATTATATTTCATTATTACTATAACTATTAATATCATAATCAACTTCGAGATTTTAATGGTTATAGTACACCATTAAAAATAATCCCTATATATAGCTTAGTGTGAGCATGTATGTCGACCTCTCTTAGTGTTTGAATTTCAACTTAATGATTTTATTTCCATTACAATATTTTATCATGTGAATACGTATATTATCTTTATACTGATAATATAAAGATAACATGGATATGTAAATAAAAATATTTTAAAAGTGAGATATTATGAACAAAAATCTTATTCATGATATAATATGTACAATTTAGAGTAATATACAAGCTATTATATCAAATATAAAAATAATACATCAATTCAAAATTAATGTACTATATTTTGAATTATATATTGCATGCATGATGACAGATCCAAAGCTAAGCAGACATTTTACAAACCACATAACATGGTACCAATACACTAACGTTTTAAAATGTAAAAAAATGAAGTTTAATACTTACATTCCATAGTTGTGATGGAATGCCTTTCCCAGGATTCCTTCAATATTCAAAATCATGTATCAAAAATGCACTTCAAAGTTGACAAGTACAAGATCAGTGGTCTTTTGTTGATGACTAAACTTACATGTAAAACATATTTAAAAAAAAAAAAAAAAAAAAAAACAAAACAAAACAAAAACAAAAAAAATGGCGTACTTAGGAAAAACACACAATGTAAGAAAAATATCAAAACAGAACATCATTGATCGATTGAACTATTACCAAAATTAATTCCATCAATTTCCATAACTGGGTTCCATCTGGATATTGTTGGTTTATTTTGCATCATGTGTTACATACATTCACGTAAACATCACCATTGCATTATTTGACCTTCAACTAACAAAGAATGATAGTTTAATACGGAGTGGTAAGCCATTTAAAACCCGGCTGTAAAAATCCTACCTTTGCTTGATCGAAGCTAGCATTAAGAAAACGACTCTCTGATATCCACACAATGAAACTTTTAACATCAAACTTAAACCAGTACAAAGATGGAACTTCGGCAAGTTGTGCCTTTGACTCTGGCAAGCACGTCGATTTCTGCTGGAAATGGGATCCCCGGAGTCTGACCTTCCGACTGGTGGCAACTACTGTTGCATCAAAATATGCGACCTGAGAATAAGCGTGGAACAGGAAAAAGGGACTAGAAGTCTTTCCAAGGTGATGGTTCAAAAGCAGATGCACAGCAAAAGAGAGAGAGTGAGAGAGATAGTGTGTGAGGGGAGGAAGCTTCACTCGAATTCTTAGTTTTCGAAAAAGATCAACTGTACTACTTGAATTCGCTGTTTCGAAAAGGAGCTACTACTGTGTATCTCCCCCAGTCATGCAGAATCCATGCCCAGGTAAATGGCACGAGGTTATATCCCGTCCAACTGTGTCGCTACCAGAAGGCCTAAGTTGGCAAAGGATGGTTGAATTTGGATTTCATACACTGTTTTCAAGGACCACTGTTCACTTCCCAGTTTGATGGGAGGTGAAAAGGAGGCACAAACATTGGAATACGTGCTAATGGAAGTGGGCTCGTCATTGTTCATGGCATGGGGAGGGGTCTGCAGGGGTTGGACAGGTCTCACTCTTGGAGATTTGCCTGCTGACAGTTGTTGGCATGCTTTGAGGGTCAGTCTGTGAGTGCCCGCTTCAGGGTTTGGGTTACATGAGTTCCGACAAATTTTGGAAGGAAATGCTGCGTATGACTGGTGAACCAGTTTTAGGTTAATGAACTGAAAGTGGGTGAAATTAAACCGAGGGATTCAAAGGCAACATGGACAGAGACATGAAGCGAAAGCACAAGAACCAATTTTGTGAAACGTCATTTGTTTTTTTGGATGAGTGTATTGCGAACAGGAAATGAGGTTAGGTGAAGAAAAAGAAATGAACATTGAACTGAGAATCCAACGAATCGTGATACATGCTGGGCTCACAACTACTTGTGGAGACAACATATTCAATTACCGCCAGTATTATAGAGGTATACGAATTGAAATCCATTTCCATTTCAGAGATGACCTTGCCGCATTAAGTTCCACGCCATGGCTCTCTCCATTGGTGCAATGAACACAGACCATCAGTAAAACCTAACACCTCGAGTTGCTCTACTCTTGAATACACCCACATCTACATTGGACCTCATCAGCTGACAGAACAACAGCCCACTACACAGAAGCAGTTCTGAGCTGAAATGTACCATCTTTTATGGTCTTTTGATGCCAAAGCTTCAATCCAGGAAACTCTTGTTTATCACGATTTAGCCAAGTTCTTGTGTCCAACTGTAATCTTGTTCTCGCTGCCAATCCTAGGCCAAGAAAAAACCTAACTTTAAGAAAACTTATGCTTTGTTACAAATTAAATGATTGTGTTGGATCCTACCAATTTCCTACTCAATTTGGCAAGTAAACAATTACGGCTGCAGATAATAACAAGATAGGGTCTAACCCCATTTAACAATCGCTGATCCCCATGTAAGACCTGCCCCAAATCCTGCAGTGGCCACAACATCGCCAGCCTTCACCTTGCCACTTCTAACAGCTTCATCTAGAGCTAATGGTATGGAGGCTGCACTGGTATTACCATAATTAGCAAGGTTCGAAATCACTTTCTCTGAAGGTATGTGTAACCTGTCAGAAACTGAATCAAGAATCCTCTGGTTGGCCTGCAAAGCAAAAAAAATAAAAAAATAAAAAAATGAATGAAGATACATGTGAATCAAGATGTTAAAACTCCCTCGCGATAATAACCAAGGCAGTTGATTTACGTTGAAGTATTCCAAGAAATTAGGACATCTCAGACTAACTTTGATAGAGGGAGTCTTCTGCTGATTACGGGTTGGGCTCAACATAGTTGACTATGAGCAGCTGCCTTAGGGAGCCACCTACCTGATGGAGCAGCAGCCAGTCTACATCATTTCCCGTAATCCCGGCCTCTTGTAATGCTCCTTCCACAACCTGAGGAACAGCTCGGACTGCGAACTTAAACACTTCCTTCCCATTCATTTGAAGACATTCATATGATGCCTTTCCTGGTTGCAGGAATGCTGCTCCATTTGTCTCAGCTCCACTAGATGAGGATTCAGCTACACTATCTACCGTCACATGCAAATGTCTGCAGTAACCACGTTAATATTCAGTGTTAAACAAAATGTGAAGGAAAAGTTGATGAAAACGAAATGGTCAACCAGAAATGCTATGGAAAGTCGAATCTATCAGAAATAACATGGGAGCAGAACAATGACAAGAACCTTCGTTACTTTTCAGCACACCACTAATAAATAACTAGAAGGGTGTAGTAAGAGGGAAAAAACCCACTTATGCCCATTCCCATCGCTGCGTAAATCAAACCCAAGCAAGCTGTCTTGGTCGTCAGTTGCTGCCTGTTCAAGAAACCCAATAAATCGTTAGAGCGCAGATTTTACATATCCATGACATTTGCTGATGCAGCGAAAGTTGGAAAATATAGAATATCACTTAGTTGATTGGGATGATCTTGAGCTTCTCTAAGTTAAATTAGTTAAATTAGGCCGTCAAACCGAAAGCGATTCTTGCGATTCAAAGTCTGCAAGTACAGTCAGACCTGTAGCAGGAGCGCTCCAGAAGCATCACCAAATAGGATACACGTTCCTCTATCCGTCCAATCCACGTATCTTGAAAGAGCATCAGAACCAACCACAAGAACATTTTCGTAACCACCTCCTGCACACACCTTCAAATTTAGCTTTAGGAGACAACTTTCGATTGGTTTACCAAGTTGAAAGAACTCAATTCGATTGCTTAGGAAGACAAAAATATAACAACGATGTTTGTGTCTAGCTTGATTCTGAAGTACAGCGTACTCTAGAAAAAAAAAAAAAAGCATTCCCAAAATTGATTTAGGTTGAGATATTGTTCTTAATAAAAGACATAAGTTTGAATGTATCAACTGCATGAGAGGATACTGGATGTGCTCAGAAAGAGTAGCAGTAAGTAAAGAATGGCTATTAGGTACACAGATTGTGGAGGAACAGAAAACTATTCAGCAAACATCTAGAACACCACTAAAATGGCCATGGAAGTACAATAACATGCACTGATATTTAAGCTAATCCTTGCTATGAACAGTACCAAATACATTACTCAGTAGGCACAATCATTGGATGCGAACCATTGGATGCGAACTACGATATGCCGAAGGCTCTCTTCAACATATGAAAAAAGACTCAAACATCAATCATATGAATCGTTCTTAGCACATGAAACACGAAACGGATAGCTCAAATCGTCATGCAGAAATACCCCTAATGAAGCGAGTGGCCGTCACAAGACCGAGAACGAATCCGCTGCATGCAGCCGTTAAATCAAAAGCCAAGGCATTATGGCATCCAAGCAGCTTCTGCACCTGAGAACAATGGCATTGAAGACTATATGTACATGAATAACACGTTCTGGGTACTTTCAGAATCAGATAAGCAATGCCACCAGATCGCACTAACTGGATTGAAAAGCATCTTGACAAGATGCTCCAAAAAATGAGCCAACACTCATGTACAATTCGCAGACTTCCAAGTTAAGATGCAGTATTAGCAAGGTCTAGCAGACAATGATTGATCTGGAGGCAACGAGATGTATATCACAGTAATCGTGTGTGAGGGATCGCTAACAGAAAGCAACATGAACAATCTACATCTCCGTGTTAGAACCTAATAGTGCAAAAGAGGCTCCCTCGTCATAGTTATAGAAAAAATACACACTCTGTTATGTGATCACACACGTGCAATTACTTCAATACGGCATACCTGTGGAGCACTACCAAATAGATCGTCTGGAGTAGATGTACACAGCAACAACAAATCAACATCCTCTGGTTTCACGTTAGCCATTTCGAGGGCCTTCCTTGAAGCTTCCACGGATAATGATGTGACGGACTCCTCCTCTGCACATTATTAAAGAGCCAAATTAGCATACTTTTCAAAAGTAGAAGGAAACCAAGATGCAAACTCATAACGTATTTGCTTGGGTATGGGTACTTGAACACTGTCCCTAAAAAACACGCCTCTTATAGACCACTGGTTAAAACATTATTTGACGGACATTTCGAGCAGGGATAAATTCTCATTGCAACCCTTCGAACCAGCCCGTATAAAATATATGTCAAGAGGGATTCCGAAACGAAGTTATCCTTGAACTTGATAATTGATCGACTTTCCCATCTTCTTTACTTCTGTGGATTTTCAGAGACTCTTCAGAACGGCTAAGGGAGCATATGCTATGCTCACAAGCCCATGCACTACCTCAACGGACAGTTCTTACCCCGGACGTGTAACTTGATGCTATGAGGATAGTACAGAACCTACTTCGAAGTGCTACCCTCGCAAACTCTTGGCGCACGACGCATATTCTGCATAGAAGTAAGAATGCGCTCCTGTGCTTACAGAAAAGCGACCAGATAATTGGTTTGCCGTAAAGGCACTACACCAATTTCCAATCAGGTACCTTGCATTAATCTGAGGGTTTCGGTACGCTAGTGTGGTACGAGGAAAGTCAACTAGTTGGATAATTTGTCGATCCAGTATATCAAAAACAGAGTGGGCTTGTGATGTCCTTCTGACAAGCATCAATAATTCAGTTTCAGTGTGACACTCACCAAACACCATGGTTAGGTAACAGACAAGGGGTTTTTATGATCATGAATCCCACGCTGCTTTAAATCGTAAATAAATGTGATAACCTGGGTATAATATCGTAGAGGAGTGCAAAGAAAAATGGAGTCACAGCAAAGTATTTATAAGAAAGATGTCTCGCCTCCGAGTACGCGACGATTGCGAATTCCTGTTCGCACGGAAATCCATTCATCCGAGGTGTCCACAAATTTTGAGAGGTCTTCATTTGTGATGAGATGCTTTGGGACAGCTGACCCTGATCCCACCAATCTTGAACCCCTTCCTACACGCCTGTGGCCAGAAAGGGACACCTAAATCAGACATACCGCAAACTAAAAAACTTAGTTGCCCAAATACTTCCCTCACAAAGATAGGCTCGTGCCATTAATTTCATGCATCTCTGCAACCCGCGAAATCAGACCAGAAAAGCACCAACCTTCGTTGCTCGGCCAGAACATGAGAAGAGGGCTCCCCTTCATTCTGCTTCAATTCAGAGGATGTAGGCGAGACGTCCCTGCTGATTGGTCAGTCAGTCCCCACTCAGGAACGCTTCAGATGCTGACAACAAGACTTGCCATCATACCCAAACCATGCTCTCATACGGCACATTGGTAAAATAACCACACCCTAGGTTTAACTGCAACAAGCGGATAAAGTACCAAAGAACTTGAATGAGAAGTTTCTCTCTCACCTGTTCTCAGCTGACATAACCGCTCGGCACCCCACAACGTTCGATAGAGAGGTGCGCCATTGCGTGTACCTTAAGGATACCCTCTCATGAGCACTTACACCACCTAATACAAAACAACCATGGCGATTTACAGAATCTCAGCTGACACTATCCATCAACAATAGCACCGGCATCTAAGAATGCCAAACGCCTATGCAGAGTCCCAAACAGTCGGTCACCTTCAGCTGAACCAAGCGATATACTGTAGTCAACGCCCTGTAATCCACTCACACAACCAAAATCTACCAACTCCACGCATTTCTTCCACTCGTTTCATGACCCAGAGACTCGTAAAACCCTAAACACAATGATGAAACCATCGCCACTAGGAATCACGAGAAACCCTAACCAAATCACTGCTCATCCCCCGCAATCCACTTCAATAGAAATCCCCCGACCTTACCAACGCTGTAACAAGCATCCCACCGCCCGTTGCCCTCCCGGCATCAGAACTTACTGAAGCCACCACACCCTACCTCGCAAAGACGGCACGGTCGATGCAGTCCACGACGCTGAGGAGTGCAGAGCCGGAGCAGTGGCGCACGCCATACCCACAGTTGGCGAGCTCAGGCTGCACTCAATCAGCGAAAAAATCTGCGGAAACAATTGGAGCTCCAAACCCGAAAACAGTTTTCCAGATTGTGAAATGTAGATACAATATGAGGGGAAGGGAGGCGGAGCAGAGGAGGAGGGAGACAGACAATGTGAAGAATGAAAGCGATGAAGAAAAACAAAAAACAGGAGTGAGCCAGCAATGGCTAGCAATGGTGATACAACCGAGGCTTGTGCTCCCAAAGCCCCCACTCCAGTGCTTGATTCCGACGGGGGGGGGGGGGGGGGAACCCGAACCCAGATGAATGGTAATAAAAGTGCCTTCGTTGGTGCTCTTCCCCCCTTGCGTCGATCTGCCCGTGTGAACGTGTCTCCCGCCCCGGATATTTCTCGTTCGGATTTGGACGGATTCCGTCGGACGAACGGCCACGAAAACTGCTCTCTGCGTCCTCGTTCTGTCCTAGATCAAGTGTTTATTCATTAATCCAAAGATATATACCCTGCATCTCGTATCCTATCCCGGTATCAATACCAGAGATTGAAATGCTTGCCGCTGCATTCTTTAGCTTCATTGTTGCGAAATCGGCGATGAATCAACCTCCGAGGGGCAGTTATTTCACGATCCATTGCTGGACTCTGCAAGTCACTCGGTGGATTAAGTAGCTGATTGCAGGAATTGCGACTCCTAGATTTGTTCCGGAAGGAGAATTAAGCAAAAATGGGAATGCCAGGAAGTCTTGGTAAATGCAAATTGAGTACCAGCATTCAAGCCAGCTTTGGTGTTCCGGACGATCCTGACTATGTTTTCGACATTTCAGCCAAGTGAGTTTGAGTGATTTGAACTTCTACATTTTAGGTGTCTGTGCTTAGATTGCTTTTTTATTTTGAGATGTGTTTTTCTTTTTCAGACAGTTGTGATCGTATGGTGTTCTGTGTCGAGGAAGTTTAGTCACAGGCTTAGATTTTTAGGGTTGATGATTAGCAAGTGGTAGCACTCTCAAGCATTTCGATTCGGCTGTTTCGTTGCAATGTTATGCTCTGAGTACATGGCCTGTGTAGTTATCATGTGCACGTGCTTCTTTTGTCAATCGGCCTTAAGCCCTAAACCCCGAGGATAAGAGCATTGATCAATTCTTGAATGTGTCGATCGTGGTCCTTCCGTATAGACGGAGGTTTCAGTCGAAGTGCTGGTAATTCTATGCAGTGATTGTTCTATTTGGTCTATTGGAGTATGTATTTGTAACGAAGGTCACTCTATCAAGGATAATGTTAACCGAAGGACGGGATTTTTAAAATCAATCCCTTTGTCTTCTAAACTACACGATGAGTTGCGATATTGATGTACGAATTATAGTTTTAACTTTTGGTTTGGGTATTGAACACGGCGCTACTACGATCAATCGATAAAGTTTTCTGTCTATTAATTCTGATTCTTTCATCTGACATTCCTCATCTATTAAGGAAAATGTTCTGTTTGTTTGAACTCTGTCTACGATTATTAGGTGTCAGTCCTCCTAGCTATGAATGGGCTGTAATTATCCCACTTGTGTTCTCTCCTTTGATCTCCAGTATGGACAACTCCATAATGGCGGTATCGCTTTCAACAAATGCGATCAAATTGTATGCGCCGGCCACGGGGCAATATCTGGGAGATTGCCTTGGACACACCAAAACAATTTCGGACATTTCTTATGTAGATGCAGGTTCACCCCATATCTTATGTTCGTCCTCAGCTGATGGCACCGTGAGGGCATGGGATGTTCGATTGAGGCAGGAGGTAGCTCGTTGCATACTCTTCTTGCACTTACATTTAACCGCAATGAGTCTTATTGCAAGCACTCTTTCCTTGAGACAGAAATGAAGCTCGTTGAGGTGTGTCGACGCAGGTGGCAACTTTACGAACAGCGAATCAGGAATTCTGGAGTTTTGATATTGGAGGTTCTACTCAAAACCTGGTTGCTGCTGGTGCCAATGCTGCGGTAGTTCTTTTGACCTCTATCCTTTGGGATTTGCGCTTTGAATGAATGCGTTGGAGTTGGACATGAAATTGAGATTGATGTTACTATCAGTTAATGCCTCGGGCACTTCAATTTTATTCACATGGACACGGTGTTGTCAGGATGACTTCGAATGCTACTCCAGGTTTGTTCCTGTTGGCGAAAACGAAATTTGAGCAGCTAACGGTTTAGAATGAATACCGATTCTCACACCTCTAAGTATCATAAGCTTCTTGCCTTAAGCTGAATATAAGGCACTGCTCTACGAAGAGACCAGCTGTAAGACACGGATTGAGTGGTTCTTTTATTCAGTTAAATCGTGCACACCACTGATATTGCAGATGATATGTTGGGACCGGAGGACAAATCGTCAAGTAGCCATGTTGAATGAATGCCATACAGAGGCCGTTACGCAGGTTATCTAAGCTTCTCAGTAGAAATTGTTGGATTAACAGTGTTTGTGTTTTGAGCATCTTTCATGGGAACCTCATGCGAAACGTTTGAGCTAAGTGCTAGCCCAGGTGGAATCGGAATGATCGGAAAACTTGTGCAGCTTAGATTTGTCTATTTTATCGTGTAGAGAATTTACAAATATTCCGGCTCCTTGAATCCATGGCCTTACTTAGAGGTTTTCATTTGTCTGTGTAGGTTCGCTTCCATCCTAATAAGAAAGAAAAGCTGGTGTCCGCCTCAGTGGATGGATTGATGTGCGTTTTCGATACGAAAGGCGACATCAATGACGACGAAGGGATGGATTCCGTGAGAATTTCCACCTATTCCCTCATCGTCGTACAATGGCGATTTGAGTGGTGAATAAGTGTTTTAGCGTCATAATTTAATATGCATGAACTGTTTGGAACCCCTGGGTGATCCTTTTGCTTGCACGACTACGACGGTCATCTAGCCACTGAAGAGGTTTAATTATCATGATTTTTCAGGTAATGAGTGTCGGAACTTCTGTGGCAAAGATAGGCTTCTATGGAAAGAACTGCGAACGCTTATGGTGCCAGACACATATCGAAACATTGAGGTGGGCTTCCTTCTTGGGACTTATGTGCTACTTCTTGGGGCTTCAGTGCTTCCACTGCAAATGTGAGAATGATAAAATTTGACGTGAACACCTATCTCGGCTCTGCAATATAGCGCATTGGTATTGTTCAAATTCTAGATCTTGTAACTTTCTAAGTTTCAGCGGCAAGTCCTGACATGTGATAATGTTCGTGTTCAGAATTGAAACCTAATGGTGTTAGTTTCATCATTTTGAGGCAGTTCTTGGAACTTGGAGGAGGCTATTATGGAAGCGGACTTCAGTGAAATGCGAGCTCATGCCTCATGCAACTGGAGTTTCTCTCCTGTAAGCATGCCCGTTTTGCTTATGCATGACTTACATCATTTGTATTATCATGTATATGAGTCCTATACCACCAAAGATTTTTGATTTTCTTCCCCTAAGAGAATGTTTGTGAAACGTCAATTTCTGAGCTAGTCCTTCACTGTGATTATGTAGGTGGAGTATTTGATACGCTGTTGCTACGTAGCAGCTTTTGATACAATCTGGCTGTTAGCTGGAACTCAAGAAGGTACTATAGGATATTTTCCTCTTCACATTCCAACTCCGAATACTGGCACAAGTGTGCCCGCGGTTGGGCCAGCCAGCGCCGTCTTGACAGGTGGTCATAATGGCGTGGTTCGATCTGTGTGGTCTCCTCCCGATAGTGCAAGAGAATCTGGCGCCACTTTGGAAGGCCTGTTCTGCTGGACTGGTGGTGAGGATGGTCGTTTATGTAGCTGGACCGAAGATAACTATGCGCATGAGAGGAGCACGGCTTGGGTATCCAGTGGGTTGGTTGCGAAGAAGGCTGCTCGTCCGAAGCGAAGGCATACTCCTTACTAATAAATTCTTGATGTAACATACCATATTAGGGTGGATTTTGCTACCTACAATTTCACTACAGTGAGATTTTCACCGAAGCTATTGTAGGAACGGGCCTTGGAATGCATACCGCATCAACTTGAGCGTGCAAGAAATTTGCCATTGTTTGTCCTGTATTCACGTATGTAGTACATGAGCCAGAGTGTGCTCACAAGACAAGCCAGCGATGATGAGAGTGATGACACGATTTAGGATAGGTGAAGTTGGCGTTACACCGTTCGCTACACTGACCAGTTCACAGCAGTGTCTGATCAATATTATATCAAATCGGAACGAGTTCCCAGCATGATCTTCATGCCACTATCGCTACTCATCCTCATAAATATCATTCACTGTGCTTGTGTTCAAGAACAAAGCCAAATAAATTCAAGCCACTAACATGAGAATGTGAACCAGTGTTCGGGAGTACACTTCTAAACGATCGCCTACCCCCAAACTCTTTGCAATAAACACTAACCTCCACAACAATCTCGATGATAACTCCTGGTGCACACATGCTAATAACTTCAACCCCATAAAAAATATACCGCACCCTGATCAGGATTAATCCCTACCCGCAAGTTCGGGTGTAGCGACAACTAGCTAGTGGACACAGTTCATCTGCAATACTGGGTTAGGATAATAAATCTCAACCAATCTGAAACTCGAGGTGACCGGCAAATCCAAATATGCCTTCCCCAGGGGCAAACCATATCAGCAACCAAACTCGTTGCAACCATTTCGAAACCAATCGAGCAGACGATCCGCCTCCAATAGCTTCAAAAAGCACTCATCACAATGCAATCCGCAGAGAATTTCAACACCTCACTCCATTCTAGTCGCCAACATAAACAAACCAGAAAGCAATCCACATGGACCGAACGTGCACCTCACATCCGCGCCCCAACTGCAAAGACGCACTGGTGATCCACCCTCACTCGCATGACCCCACGCGGACAAAACCACTGCTGCGCATCTCATTGGCTCACGACCTCCAAATCTTTCTGCCCTGTCACGTTCCTCACTAGCAGCAAAGCTAAGCCTTCAGGGCTCCTCAATTCGAGTTTAGCTCAAGCCTGGACATGCTGTGCAATGCAATGGCGCGGGCTCCTTGTTGGTTTGCAGCATTCTAGTCTTTCCGTGTGGCTTCGAAGCACTCTGGATGGATGCAGGTAGCTCCTTGCCTGAGCAGCACCTTCAATTCCGCGTCTAGTTTGCACGCTGCGTGGCAGCACATGTTCCTGTGGCGAGTCCTATTTCGGACAAACCGTAACTGCTTGTGGCGGTCGGTTGTGTTCGGGATTTGGGTTGCGATACTTGGTGTTCCCCGCGCAACATGGGTCTTCTGCGGATATGACCACGCTGCCGGCGATTGCACGAAGCGCTGCCTTGTTCCGATTTTAGGTTTCTGTAGGCTCGCTCTGTGATTGGAGCGGATTCCTGTTGCAGCTGAAAGTGCTGTCGCCTCCTGAAGCGCTTTGGATTTCGGAAACCGCAACGACTGGGCGCAAACACGCGAGTGCGAGAGCCACACGGGCTGTTGCGGCGGTTTCTTCCAGCGATGAGAATCGGACTGGCGGGCCAATTTTGCACCGCCTGGAGGGAAATGCCGTCTGGGCGCTGTTCGAGGAGCGCGCTGCTGTGAAGCTTTCCGGACTCGTTGCGTGTTCGAGGTCGGGAGCGTACCCCTGTCATGGCAATTTCGGCACTCTCCCCTCACACGCTCGGCCGTTGTGCCCCGGGTGCTGGGGCACCGCAATGCAGCGCCAGGAGGGAGCCGCGCAATGCATGCAGCAGTCCATGGGCGGAGTTCGAACGCAAGGATACTTTTCAATTTGTAGGAGCTCGAAATTGCAACGACAGACAGTGGAGGGCGGCAAGCCGAGATTGGTAAGCTCCGGAGCCCTCTGATTCTCTCACCACGGGCAATTTGTTTCGTCCGCGTCAGTGCAGACCATGGGAGGTTTGGTTCCGAGTAAACGTTCACAGAAAAGCCCTGTTGCTCGGGTAGCCTCAAATCATGGACCGTACACCGGCTTCCTGACAGGCTCTGCGGAAGCGCCTCTTGCAATCATTGCGCAGATGTTGCCATGTCGAAACTCGATCACCCAAGTGTTCATTTCGGTCTGTAAGTTTCAGCTCGGTCGCGGATGCCGCCCTGCACCGTACTGGCGCTCTCACGATTGTACGATGAGCATACTTTTCCGCTTTGTGCAGCAGGGTGAAGAACTGGAGACACGGGCAATGTCGGTGTTCCGGACAACAATTTCTGCCGGATGAAACCAAACCATCTATCTCGCGACGCCCTTCCGCGACCACCCCGCGGTCTCTCCTCTCTCCAGCCAAGACGTACTTGGAGGCCGAGCTGACCTCCGAGGACAAGTTCTGGGTGATCGCGGCCTCCACCCCCGAGGAGCTCCTGGCGGCTGCCACACTTCGAGCGCAGATATTCTATTCGTACCCCCAAGTGGACATGACATTGGCTGGCATCGAAGCCGTCGGGGCGCGCGTGGCAAACGACTTGATCATCGACGACCTGCTGAGAACGAGGCGGAAATCGGAATTCACCAGGGTACTTGTCTGCGCAACCATCCGAGTTCATGGACTGATGGTTGTCCGTGTGCTCGTCTGATTTTCTTTCCTGCTCGGACGCAACCAAGGATC